AACCAGGGAGATGGTTGGCTTATCAATTAAGAAAGAAACAGAGACAGAGAATAATAGATAAAATAAATTATAATGGTAAATTAGTGTATCAGAAGGAACTGATTAAGAAATCTTTTTTAGACTATTATCAAAAATTATATAAGATTACTAATGTACAAATTTCAGACATAAATAAATATTTAAGTGAGGCTAATTTTCCTAAATTGACAGAAGATCAGAAGCAAGAAATTAATGGTCCAGTTACCAATGAGGAGATTGTGATGGTTATTAAGCAATTAAAGTTAGGTAAAGCGCCAGGTACGGATGGCTTGACATCTATTTATTATAAAACTTTAGTTGAAGAGGTGACTCAACCTTTAGTTGAGCTTTTTAATAATATATTGCAGGGTGTAGAGATCCCTCTATCATGGCGCAGTGCTTTTATATCCTTGATTCCAAAAGAGGATCAAGATCTTACTTTACCAAGGAATTATAGACCTATATCTCTTTTAAATGGAGATTATAAGATTTTTGCAAAAGTTTTAGCTAACAGGTTTATGAAGGTTGTGCATCAGCTTATACATAAGGATCAATCGGGTTTTATAATTGGCAGGTACATGAAAAATAATGCTAGACAAATTATTAACATATTAGAATATTTAGATAAGAACAACCAAGTCCCTGCAGGGCTGATATTTTTAGATGCTGAAAAAGCTTTTGATCAATTGAATTGGCATTTTATGTTAAGAGCAATTGAGGAGATGAATTTTGGAGGGAAAATATTACAAGCTTTTACTGCTATATATCAAAAGCAAACGGCACAACTTATTGTTAATGGGGGTTTGTCAGAGGTTTTTACAATAGAAAAAGGTACTAGACAGGGATGTCCTCTGTCACCTTTGCTGTTTGTTTTAACATTGGAAATTTTGTTGATTAAAATCCGAGAATCGCAGGTAATAAGAGGAATAGAAGTTAATAAAAAAGAGTACAAGTTAAGAGCTTTTGCAGATGACTTGGTGGTTACTTTATCTCAACCTACCTATTCTGTAGTTAACTTATTACAGCTGATTCGTCAATATGGACTTGTTTCGGGCTTTAAAATTAATAATAATAAGACTAAAATATTAGCTAAAAATATGACTATTCAGGACAAACAGACTCTGGCTGAGTTGACTGGTTTTGAAATTGTTGATAAGACAAAATATTTGGGGGTCACTTTATCTGTTTCTAATGCAAAATTGTTTAAGAATAATTATGAAAGGCTGTGGGCCAGTGTACAGAAGGACTTGAGGAATTGGGAGAAGTTACAGTTATCTCTCATGGGACGAATTGCAGTGATTAAAATGAATGTCCTGCCCAAATTTCTCTTTTTGTTTCAAATGTTACCTATTTTAAAGAACGAGGTTAATTTGAATGAATGGCAGAAAGGTATTAACAAATTTATTTGGGCAGGGAAAAAAACAAGGGTAAAGTTTAAAATTATGCAGGACTTCCGTGAGAGAGGTGGACTCAAGGTACCGAATTTGAAATTATATTATGATGCAGTGGTTTTTACGTTAATTAGTGATTGGGTAAACTTAACAAATTCAGAGATACTCCATCTGGAGGGATGGGATTTACTCTTTGGTTGGCATGCCTATTTAATATTTAATAAAAAAGTGGATCGGGTTTTTAAATCTCATATTTTAAGGATTTCTCTACTTAGAGTCTGGAGGAAATATTATAAAAGTGATTTTAAAATACCATTATGGGCCATACCTTGGCATGCGATAGAGGGGATAAAGAGAGGTGTTAAAATGGATACGGTGTCTTATACACAATTACTTAGATGGGATGGTCTAAATTGGCAGTTAAAATCTTTGGAAGATTTGTTACATGAAAATATTACCTATTCTTGGTTTCAATATAGACAACTATTAGATAGATGGAAGATGGATCGTAATTTAGGTTTGCTTAGAGAAGATCAAAATCTTTTCAAGCAAGTAAAGGATCAAAGACAAACTCATATTAAAAGAATTTATGGGGTGCTAGTGGAACTGGATTCAGAATCAGAATTAATTAAAGATTGTATGATCAAATGGGCGCAGAATTTTGGTGAACCAGTTCTACTGGATACCTGGGAAACTATCTGGGTGAGAAATGTTAAGTTTACACAAGCCCAGAATTTAAGGGAGAATTTTTATAAAATGTTTTATAGATGGCACCTTGATCCACAAAAGATGTCTCTCATGTATCCTGACTTACAGCCTAAATGTTGGAGATGTGGCTGTTTGGATGCCACTTATTATCATATTTGGTGGTCGTGTAAAAATATAAAAGCTTTTTGGATTAAGATATGGTGGAACATTCAGAGAATTTTTAGAAAGAGGGTAAAATTTACTCCACAATTGTTTTTGCTTGGTATTGTTACTGATTGTGATGCTAAGGAGGTTATATTGATGTTGAATTTGATTACAGCCGCAAGGCTGCTAGTAGGTCAATATTGGAAGAAGGAATCTTCGCCTACTTTGCAAGAGTGGTTTTTTAAAGTATCTTATTTGGCAGAAATGGCAAAGATTTCGGCTTTCTTAAAAGAGCAAACGCAAGAGAAATTTTTTGCTGTATGGGAAAAATGGATAAATTTTATACAATTTAAATTGGATATGAAAAAATACCATTTAGCTTTTTTATAACTTGTATAAAAACTCTACTTTTTTTCCTTTTCTTTGTTTTTTTTAAAATATCTTTTCTTTTTAAGGTTTATAATTCTTTATTCATATATATTTTCTTCTTAATTATCTTATAATTTTGTTAACTTCTTTTAATTAAGCCTATATTCTGCTCTGGGAAGCTCGGGGGGGGGAGGGAGGGGGTGATTTGGGAGGGGTTGGGGGAGGGTTGTATTGTTTGGTTTTTTTTTTTTGTCTTATTGTAGTTGTCATTGTTTTTTTTCTGTCTTTGTAAAAGTTTTAAAAAAATTTTCAATAAAAAAACTCAAGGAAAAGAATAAGGTATCCCATGAAACAACAATACAATACTAAATAAATGAAATTTAAATGGTAATTGTAAGACAATTTAGAAGGCTAACTAGGAAAACAGGAAATATAGATTACTAAATGACATCATAGGCAATTGTAGTTATTTTTGTTAGTTAAGGTAAGGTTGGTAAAGTAGGACCCACTTTATGTAACACTCAATTATGATTTGTAAATGACTCATCAATATATGACATCATAAAGAAATTTAATTTGACATAATTTCCAATATCAAATTAAACTAAAAAGTTGGTTAACAAGTCTTTGTGTCTTGGTATTACACAGTATTGTAGTTTTTAAACTAGTATTTACTTAGTCTAATTTTACACATAACAATAATGGTTTTAAACTTATTAAAGTTTACTCAATTTAATTTATATGACACATTAAGCCATAAGCTAGCTAAAGAGAATGGATTTGCACAATACATAAAGCTAAAATGCAGTGTAGTGTAACTTGGGTGTTGTGTGGTTCAGAATTGTTGTAATATAATGAGAAACTGCCATTTTGTATTTGCAGAAAGTAGAATGTAAACATAGCAGCTTTGGTTGCAAATTTTACTTCAAGTAAAGTGATATTAATTTTGGGTTCATGTAACAGAGTAAATCGAACATTCTGGCTAAATATTCTTATTGATGTGCTTGGCAACTGGGCTTTGAGGCTTAGCATGTGGTATGAATAGAGAGATTGTTTTTCAGTGGAGTTAGCTCAGTTATATAACTAATAGTTACCATGGCTGGGCTGATATTGAGTCATACCTCACTTAACCATGCTGTATTGACTAAGTGGCTGAATGCACACAACACACTCACTCTAAATGAGAGAGTCTATATCATGCTCAGCACCGTTAAGTGAATTGGGCATATAGAGGTAGTCCTTGACTTATGACCCAAATTGAATCGAACTCGAAATTTCCATTGCTGATCAACTTTTGTCCCACTTCATGACCTTTCTTGCCACAGTTGTTTAGTGAATCACTGCAACTATTAAATTAGTAACACTATTCGTAAGTGAACCTGGCTTCCCCATTCACTTCGTTTGTCAAAAGGTTGCAAAAGATTAGGGTTAGGGTTGACATGACCCAGGATGCTGCAACTGTGATAAATATTATGTCAGTTGCTTCTGCAACAGTTGTAAGTGTGAAAAATGGTCATGAGTCACTTTTTTTGGTCCCTTTATAACTTCAGTCACTAAATAAATGGTTGTAAGTCAGGGACTATGTGTATGTCCTATTGTCAAGGATGGTAGATGATCATGTGAATCAGAGTCTATAGTTGAAAAAGCAATCTAGTCAATTCTCCAACCCCACACCATTAACATTCCATGTATTGGCTCACATAACTAATTTGCCAGGAGACTATAAAAAGAGTAGGTTCATCAGAAAAGAAATTCGCAGATTTCACTTTGAATATGGTTATCTAAAACCATGGTGCAAATGGCTAACATCGTTAAGACTACTATAATTACACATTGGGTGGATAAAATAATTTATTAATATAAACAGGTTCTCATTATAAGAAACACTTTTACAATTGCTAGATCTTTGGTGCTATCTAAAACTGGGCTTCTTGCTGCTGAATTGGGCAAGTCTTGAGTAAAATGCACTGAGCAATCTCATTGGAACTATTTAATAATGTAGAAAGCACCCAGAAAAAAAATAGTCAGTGCAACAGGCAAGGTCTGAAGAAAAAGGAAGGACATGTACAAACTGAGGGAAACCACAAGCATTTCCACCCTCTTTCCCCACCACACTGACCTAGTTACCATGGCAACCAGCATGCTCCAAATCTACTGAGAACACTACATAGTAAAAATGCTTTGAAATATTCCTGTGTTAAATTAGGAATGTGATGTCTTGGAGCTGATAAATTAGCTATAATCCCCTCACAGGTTTCTGAACCAACTAAAATGTCTAATTCACCTGTCACACAATTAAGATGGAGACAACACCAAGGTTTCCTGGAAGGAAAATGCATTCCAGTTAAATTAAAAAAATAAGTGACTTACCAGTTGGTGCATACAGGATAGCTTTCTGTAGTCTTGGATTCAGTTTTCATAATTCTCAGCCAACAATCTAGAGGTCATAAATTGGAGAAACCTAGTTTACAACATGATACTTTATGCTATGGTATTGTGTTCACAGGACACTCCAAGTCACAATGTAGTTTGGTTTTGGAATATCATGTTCAGTAAAACCAGTATATTCAGTAAATTATGAATAATAAACCATGGCTTAGTGTAAGATGAACTCAGTCTTTATGATACTGATGCTTTTTAACTGTGAGGTAGAAAAGAACTGACAGAACATTTTGGTAGTCCTTGAACCTAATAATAACATTGTAGCAACTGTGGATATTGTGAAACGAGAGAAATGTTAGACATGGCTGGATTTAATTTACAGAATTTCCCTAAATGTGCTAAAATCAGACAACTAAATATCTGGTGGATACCTGCTTCATTTACTATATTTTCAGTTATAATTAGAGCAACTAATAATCATTTTTAGTATCAGGGAGTTGTATTTGTAACTTCCTGTCTCAGTTACAGTTCCTTAATGCATAAAGAAAATACTTTTGTGTTTATAAGTGGCTCCTCTATTGAAACTTCATATTCCTATTTTGTCACAAATATTGCAGAATAAGAGACCCTCTAAAATAAAAAGATTGAGATTTTTTTAATTCAGAAAAATTCATTGAAGTGTGAGCATTTCTTTGTCATAAACATGACTTTGTTTTGAAACCTAAAACCATAAGTACTAAAAAATTAAGACTAACTCAAGTAAGAAGAGCAGAATCACTGTTTATGGTCTGAAAGAGCATGGACAGGGTAGGAAACATCTTATTTTATTCATATACTTGCACTTTTTATAAAAACATAGATGAATAAAGGAATAAAAATATGAGATTACCAAATACAATTTTGCAAATTTATGCACCTAACTTAAATATATATTGTTTTATCTGGGGAAAAATAGAATTATCTTGTTAGAGGGTAATATATGAAAATCCTACAAGCTTTTCCTATTTTGTAGTTGTACCTCCATCAAATGAAGCTGACCTTTCACATTTTGGAGCATAAGATGGGGTTCCCTCTTCATGGTTTGCTTCACAATGCTTATAACTAAACCATAATAGCTGGGTTTCCTAACATATTAAGCAAAACCCAAACAAATTATAGTGTAATGCACGAACCTAGTTGTAAGTGCACACTACCAAAATGTTATTTTTTCCAATACAAGATGCTCACACTTACACAATTGCTGGCTTCTCAAATACATTGACTAGTTAGAGTGAACTTGTAGTTCAAGTACCAGATTGCAGGAGCTTCCTAAAGACTAAAGTTAGACTATATGGAGAAAAGTCATTGCAGAATACCTCTTATTCTCAATCATCCAGGTATTACAAGATACAGCTAAGTATCATACTATGTCAGATTTTGCAATACTTTGCTATAAGTTTGGCAAATCTCACAGAAAGTGAGGGCAGCATCAGATAAATTTGTTGTAGTATAGCATTAGTGTTAATTGGCAGCTATTAGCATTACAAGTTACCAGGTACCAATCATTTCTTTCTCAGATGCAAATAGATTATGCTGGCCCTGCAAACTCTTTTCCACTTTATTCAGTCTCTAAGCTTCTTTGCATTGCAATTTTTACCCCCTACTTTGTCTCAGCAATGCAAATGTATTGTAGCAACCATATTGGTAAAGGAAAAGTGTTAATTAACAGGACTGATTTGTTGCATCCTGCTAAAGCCTTAACCAACTAAAACCAATATTATAATCTATTTGCGTAAATCAGCTGTAAAAACAAATTTGTCATAAATATGAAGCAGAATAGGTTAAACAAGCTGCTCTTTGGACTGAATTTGCTGTACAATGGTTGTGCCTCATGACTCTTCATACCATGTGATGGAAGCAGAACTGTGAAAAGTATAAATCATCTTGTATGTAAAATAAATGTAAATCAACATTTGCCAATTCAAAGAAGCAGAATATTTTCAGTGGTAGCATTTAATAATATTATTTTCTTTGGTTTGCTAAGTGATATTCCAGAATTCCAGTTGTTTCCTTCAGGTTATTATTTATGATCCTTTCCCTAAGTCCAATTATAGCTTTAAATTACTTTCAAAATTCTTATTGTCATGCTCAAATCTTTTCCTCCCCTGTTGCTGTATAAAACTCCTCTGCACAACTCAACTGAATAATATTATATTATACTTCAACCTTCCACAAAATGTCAGGTTCCAATTTCCAGTTCCCATTAATCCTGTTATTATAATGGTAGCTGAAATAATTTGGAGAATACTTAGGCAAGCCTGCCATATAAAATAATGCCTATTGTTTTATTCTCTGATTCCTTGCTCATTCAGGTTTCAGAATACTACCTCCCCCCCAAAACCTGGTGCCTTACCAGATATGGTTATAACAAATTCTAGATTTATAGGTAGTTCAGCTGTCTTGGAAAAGTTCCTGTAACTTCAGGGACATCTACAGGGATATGTATCAACAATACAGAAGGGCAGCAAGAAGCAAAACCTTGACTTTTTTACCCCCTTGTGAATGATCCTATAGTAGGGGTCCCCAACCCCTGATTGTGGATAGGTACCGGCCCACAGTCTGTTCGGAACTGGGCTACAAAAGCAGCAAGTGAGCAAGCAAAGCTTCATTTGCTCATGCATAGTAATTAGGTTGCATGCGTGAAACCATTCCCCTTCTCTCTCCCCCCTCCCCTGGTTGGTGGAAGACAAATTTTCTTCTGAAACTGGTTCCTGGAGCCAGAAGGGTTGGGGACTGCTGCCCTATAGAATTTGGGATTTGGTTGTCAACATTTGAATATTTAAAATGAACATAGCCTATTTATATCCTGCTCTTTGTATTTTACATTTGTTTTTCCCTAATTTTGACAATTAACACTTTTAAAAATATCTCCAAAACCTCCACTTAAATTTCATAACTTTGAAAATAACATCTACCTCTTCACTCTTCGTGCCTAACCCTTTGCAACATTTATAAACTAAAGCAGAGTTTCTCAAACCTGGCCAATTTATGATGTGCGGACTTCAACTCCCAGAATTCCGTAGTCAGCATAGTTGGCTGGGGAATTCAGGGAGTTGATGTCCACCCATCTTAAACTTGCCAAGATTGAGAAACATTGATTTATAGTATAATCGTCTACAGATTAAAACATTAGCATTAGGTATGTTATGTACTGTATGATATTAAATCAAATAACTGAATCCTCTAGTTGGATATTGCTGGTATCAGCTTTGTACAGTCCAGATCCCCTCCAGATTTGTACTTTCATACTATCTGACTACTGGCTTTATTGCCAGGATATGATGGAACTTGTAAACTAAAATGTTTGAAAGGACCAAGTTTGGAGAAAGTTTCTCTCACTGAGATCAATAGCAGCTTTCTGAAAGTACGGAATCATCCTTTTCTAAGTATTCTAAATACATTCTGGATTGGAACTTTAACCTTTTGTATGAAAAGTATATACTGAATAAATGAATTCATGTACAAAACTCTGGAGGATTCAGAGCATTGGCAATTTTTTATCATCAAATTCTAGAAACCATAAGGACACCAATCTCTACCATGTTTTATTATGAATATCCCCCAATGCTGGATTAACAGTGTAAAGTTCTTCACCTAAATGGACCTTGACTTGATTGTTTAGTGTTAATAGCTAAATAACAGATTCTGAAAAAAATAAGGGAAATAGTAGGGAAAAATAATGTGAAAAATAATCAATTATTTTCATTAAATATTCTTTGGTATAGAGTTGGGGTTTGTTGTAAAGCCTTTCCAGAAAAATATGGCTCTTCAGGAAGAAGTTGAAATAAGGGAAATAGAAACAGGTGTTTGGGGAATCAATACTAGGGACCAAGTGGCTAAAAGGGAACAGAAGAGAGCAGGAGACTGACACCCAAAAGGATGTTTTAGTATACAGTATATGTGTCTGTAGATTGAAGCAGGATAGAAATGTAAAAAATAGTCAAGATCACAAAAATGAAATGAGCAAACTAAGTCTCTTCAAAGTTTTTAAGCAAGAATGAGAAATGTATACAGAATCTTACAGAAAGAAGCTAATTTAGTGACCTGTTACTTTTTCCAAGCAATGAGAGAGGCAAATGCTGTTGCTGTTGAAAGTGAGAGTTAAAGACATAAGACAAAATCACCCAAACAAGAGAGAAGAAAGCGATATCCATCTTTAAAAAAATAGCAAAAATTGGATTTTAATCTTTTATTCCATATGCTCTGGAAGTCTTGGTCTTTTTTTACATCGGTATATTACTAAACACAGCCCTTCTAAGAGAAGACCAAGATTTCCAGAGCACATGGAATTAAACAAAGATTAAAATCCAATTTAGGAGTGCAAATATCAGATGTAATTTAATGTATCTAAATGGATAAGTTGCTTTTAGGTTGTTTAAAGCGGCAATCATTCTTACACTTGTTTGCCACATTAAAACAATGGGGCTTTCTTCTGAATTTGACCAGCCAAGAAGGTGAATTGAGCTAAACATGGATGATGACACGCGCTTCTTCCCTCTGCAGTCATTTCCCACCACTATGTTACTGATGGCCACGCCTCAAACAATCACCGAAGCACTAAAAATTGACCTACGAAGAACCGCCCTCTCTCTCCAAAATGCATTGGTTACCTAATATGCCAATCTTTGCTCCTTTTCGAATGCGAGTCTATTGGCTGTGGCCATTTCTGGCGGGGGGGAGGGAAGGCTAATTGAAGAGCGGGAGCTAGGCCGTCAGTTGAGAAGATTAAAAAAAAATCTTACGCCTCCTTTGAAACACCGCCCTCCACTTGAGTCTCCATTGGCGGAAACTGGTTCTTCGTCAGAGCAAATTCTTTTTCTTATTGGTGGAGGATGCCGCAAGTGGATGTTTTAGACCTTAGCGGTGGCCGCTCCCTCCCGGCTTGAAACCTCGCTGCTGCCGGTGAGTTAGAGGCGTTGAAGCTGGAACAACGCAGCGGGTGGTGCGCTGGGGCTCTCCGAGAAGGTATTAGCTACCAACTCTAGTCTTTCTGGCGTAAGAAAAAGGAGTCGCGTCGTCGTCTTAAGGCTTTGGCCGGACTCAGGTGAAGTCCCAGCTTGGAATTGGTGCGGGAAAGGACGGGAAACATACAATACGGCGCATGATTTTCAGTTTGGCGCCCGCGGGTTAAAGGTTCATTGAGAGGCGGGCGGGTGTGGCTTAACTTCTAAATTCCCATTTTATGCCAAGTGCGCTGGAGTCCAGGAAGTGCCACCCATCGAGGACGTCGACTTTTGGGGAAGGTGTAGCCTTTCCCCTTCTCTGCCTGGGGCTAGGAAGCGTCTTCCACGCGCGGGGCCAACGGACCGTTTGCTCTCACGTTTTCTTCCTTTGATGCTCTAGCTTATGACTTACCTTGTCTTTCTCCTACCCACATCCTTCCTCCCCGGAGACAACCGGGCAGAAAAAAAGACTTAAATTGCATCCCCTGAAAGTGGGCTGGGAACTAGCAGCCGGTCAGGTGATTTTCTTACCTTTCTCTTACTCTCTATTTTTCTTTTAAACTACTAGATTTTAAGTCTTCTTTGGGAACGGTTAAATCTGCTTTCCTCTCGCGTCCCTACTTGCAATTGGTCCCCGCACCCTGCTGAACGTGGGGCTTTCTGACCCTCCCTTAAGTCGCTTTTAAGGCCCTTTTTGGAAGTAGCGGAGAGGAGACCGCTTTGTGGCAGCTGTCAGGTCGACGATCTGAGTCACGGGCTGACAATCTTGTTGCAGACATTGCAATGGGTTCGTCTTCCGCCCGCCCAACTTGACTTCCTCGTTGGCTCTGGTTAGTCAAGGCAGGAAAGGAGGAAGGAGTGACGGGGCAAGACGAAGCTTGTAAGTTCGAGCCTGTAGCTCACCCCATTATTAAATCAGAGCAGATTCATTCTCTGTCTCTCTTTTAGCTTTTACTTTTTTTTTTGATTAAAAAGGCGGTGAAATAGGCCTGCTGAATCAGATTTTCTTCCCATCTGGTAGGGTTCTGCATACATAGCTATATCGTGGCAAAGCCATAATAGAAATGAGAAAATGACTTTTAAAAAATAGAGAAAACCGGGAAGAACATTGCAGCTGATTTTCTTGCTTGTATGCTGCTAAAAAAAAATAGTTATTTAGAATAAAACATAGGTATCTATTTTGAGATACTAACTTACCCCTATCTGACATTGCTCATGATGCATTGTGTGACTGGAACAGTTTTTTTTTTTTTTAAGTATTGAGTTTGTGGGTATATTTGGCACTTCACCATTGTTGCTGCAGCTTTTAAAGTTGCAGTTGTGGTGTGGATGCTTAAAAGTATTGAGAAAGCAATCCTTCAAATTGCACAGAAACCCTTTAGGATCCTAGGATTCATGGGAGTTGCACATTGGTTATCTTTCCTATATAGAGTAACAGTATGGTAATTTCATATCTTCCAGTAGAAGAGTTTATATGCTATTTAACAAAATGGATTGGTTGAACTTTGCATTTTATTTTGCTTGTATTTTCTTTCAGTATGTAATTTAAGGCTTGTCTCCTGTCTTTTACACACTTTAGTAGCATTGTTTAAAATGAAGACTTTCACTCTGTTTAAAAAGTTGTTGAATGTAGTTCATTTCTGCAAGGATAACTGTATTTAGCAACATGTAATCTAACTTGCTGGCACATTTGAGAAAAATAGCATTCCAGTTGTGTTTATCTGGAATAGTGACTTCCATATGTATAATTTAATACCTGGACTGGTTTATATATAAGCATGTTTATGTTGCAGTATAATTCAGGATTTATGGAATAACTTGTGCAAATGGCAAAACATATTTTTCTGATAAATTTTTTTGAGTATTTTTGCTAATACTGCTCTTTATATAAGTGAAAAATTGGGGTGTAAAATAAGCAAGTTCCCTTTTTGAGAAAGGCTAGTGAATGAGCATTCTTAGATTAACATATGCCTGCAAATATTGTTTCTCCTCTCAAGGATAGGTGTGTTACAATTGACTCCAAATAACAACTGTATAAGGGGTTACTGCTTGCATAAAGATATGTTCTAACTTAGTCACCAGCTGAAAAATAGGTTTAGGTACTTTGCCATTCCAGTGAAAGCTGCAGAGCTTTGCACAGGCTCCTACTATCTGGCTCATGCAGTTGCTGTGTGCGTGGAGACTAAATTTGTCTAATACATAAAGTTGCTACCTGGAAATTTGGTGCTATACAGTACTTATATATTCAACTGAAATAAAATTTTAAAATCAATTCATTTATTTGTTAAATGGCTTAAAAGTCCAATATATAATATAATTATCATTTTATGAGGTCAAATATAATTTTGTATATTTGAAGTTAACATGAGCTTGCTTGTCATTAAAGTTTGGGAAATGTAAACTAAATGTTTGTTTATGTAGTTTTGGAAACAACTATTTAGCAGATGGGCTTATATTAATACCAGCATAGCTACAATAAGTCTCATTGTTAGTGTAACTTTGTTTTGATGGTAGTAAAGAGATTGATATCTATGTTTTGTTATTGCACTCTTCTGAAAATTTTATTCTTTTTTTTTTTTAAATCTAATATACCCTGGAATGTTCTTGTGTTCTTCCTTCAAGTCCTAACCAGGTCCAATCCTGCTTTGCTTTTTCAAAACCAGGCAAGCAAGCTTGGCTAGGTGCTGCCACCTACTGTGATGAAGGCAACAAAAATATTTATTTTAGGGCCCCTCTTTTATGTTTGATAGAGCAATATTATATTTTTGATTACTTTGACAATAGTTAATTCTCTAGCAAAGTGTAGATAATAGTTACAACAGCTAAAAGCAACTAGGCAGTATTACTATATGTACAAAGAATTGCTATGTGTCAATCCATTTTCTCAATATCTGAGTGAGAAATTTGACCTTGGCTTTCATAATATTTTAATACAGAACCATAACTGTTACCCCAATCCTCTCTCTCCAAAACGTGTGTGAATTTGCCTTGATTTAAACAATTTATATTAAAGGAATAACCCTAGTGATCACTGGTATATTATGCTACTTGCACAGCATTGCACTTCATAACTTAAAGATGAAATTGTTATTCTGTTTGGTGATTAATAATGTAAAAAATGCCTATTTGGAAATTACTTGCATAATCCCAAATTACTTTTTTTAAAAGCAGATCTATAAATCCAGAAATTAATTTGATACTAAAACCTATGGTTGCCAGTAAATGTATTACTAATTTGAGAGCAAGAAAAAAACCCAATCATATAAAATCTGTTTTTTCCTCACGTTTTTAACATAGATTTTTTGAACAATGCAGATCTCATGCTAAGTGTTGATAGTTGTGGAATATTTGAATAGCATTTGATAATTTTTCACATTTTGCCATTAATTACAAGACAGTAAATTAACTTACAGAATTATAGCATAAATATAGTTCTGTTACATACTTATACAATTACAGTTGTTCCCCCAGGTGTAAAACTTTGTCATTTTTTTTGTAGGAGAAAGAAATTACTTTAATTTTGGACATGATTCCCTAGCCTACAGAGTTGGTATTTAAAAGATTCCAACTGTTGGTCTTATGTGTTCTGTAGTTCTGTCTTAAGTGTGCTTGAAGTACTTTTTGAAAATATGCTGATTTTTGCCTCTGCTAGATACACTATTTCATTTTCTTAATCCAGTGGCTTTTTTTTAACTACAGAAAACACTTGAGTGTTTTTTTGTGTCACTCTCAGAACTTGCCAAGATACTGAATGAGTATAGCTTGCAGATTTATGTGGTATTATCTTAAATTCTGGAAAGAAATGAGTCAGTGTTGCCCTAATTCAGGAAACAAAAATGCACATGGGAAATTCATTGCAGCAGATCTTTATGAGGTGCCATATTGGAGAAAGATTGCTTCAAAGGTACACGAGAGAGTTTCTGCTCCCCTTTTTTCCACTCTGGGTAGATGCTGGACTGATGCTCCGGGTAGCTTTGTTTTAAGCCATTGTAAATCTATGCTTACTTTACAGATATAGTAATCTTTGTGATTTCAAAAACATCTTTGTCTGGAAAATGATACTGAATGGGAGTGTTTTGGCCTCTTGTTGAAGTGCTAGAACTACTTGCCTTAAAATGCACGTGACTTGATTTGCTTTGTGTTCTCAGAGGAAACCAGTATTCAGTGGGAAAAAAGTAGGCAGAAACTAAGGATAACATATTCTTCCTTTTTAATCTAGGGTACATACTTAACTTTCTGTAACAGCACTCAAGTTGTTTTCTTGTGGAAAGTGTGCTCTTAACAAACTAGCCTAGAATTCAGAAGAACTTTATTTTCAACAGTCTCCATAAATGTCAGAAGTCAATTGATATTATCAACATATGATATGTTTTCTAGTAGAACTTAGATTTAATAACTCTATGTGGAAAGCATTTTCTTTCCTTTTCTTATTTAACTGTGTGCCTGGCATAGAATATATAATATATGAGAATTTTTTTTTCTCACCTGTACACCTAGTGCAGGGGTAGGCAACCTTGGCTCTTTTATGACTCTTGGACTTCAACTCCCAGAATTCCTGAGCCAGCATGGCTGGCTCAGAATTCTGGGAGTTGAAGTCCACGAGTCATAAAAGAGCCAAGGTTGCCTACCCCTGACCTAGTGTGTTCACATTTTGGGTTGAAGGGAGTTACACATTTTTGAGTGGTCAGAAAGGCTAAAAAGTGGAAGGGCTTCCCCAGTACCTGGGGAGGGCTGGAAGGAAAGAAATTATTTGAGACATGGTAGATGGAAGGTGAGGTGTGTGCCTGGGCAGGAGCACCTCTTCAGAATCAGGAAGAGTGTGGTGCTAGACTTACCATTTTGGATAGTCTCTGATAAAATTGGCACACTGGTTTGACTGCTTCTGTCACTATCAATATCATTTATGATGTGCTGCTGTGTGGGTGCTGATCTGTGGT